ATAATAAAAAAAAAAAAAGCAAATTCTAAAATCTATTTCAATATAGAATCTAATATAAAAAGTACGATTATTTTAAGAAGAAAGTTAAAATATTATTATATATATGATATTTATATTATATTTAAATACCTTATTTCACCTCTATCTCGGCATTTCAATATATTTGCTTTATCATTCTTCTATGAAATCATATATTTTATATATCTCTATATCTTCATTTATTTATCCTAACCCTCTACCCGCCCACGACGTATCTAATTAAATCCATTATTCCATATTCATAATATTCCCCTCGATTTCCCTCCTATTATATTCACAATATTTTCTTGAGATATTCGCCCTCACCCACCATACCACAATTCCCTCACCCACCATTCTACCCTCGCCGGCCACTCCACTCCCCCAACGACAATCACGCCCTCATCCTCACGAAACCATACTTTTCCCGAGATTTGCAGAATTTCTAAAATCAGCGGAATTTTGAAGATTTCGCAATATATAACGCATCTAATATGAGACTCTCACAAATCAAACTAGATTGTGCAATAAGAATTCGCCTTTGAACAACGACTTGCCGACTTTTGGGTAATCTCGTACCGACAACCGTCCTACACAAATTCAAAACCGGAAGAAGCGCGCCATATTTGATAGCGTAAGTGAAATCCCAAACTAACAATCAATCTCAATGCCAAATATAAATACAGATACTAATGTATTCCGAAAACGAAATCTCCATATAATAAATATAATTTCTTAGTCTTAATAATTCAATATATCAGAATAATACGTTGCTCTACTTGCGTGCCGCCTCTTAGCGAAGAGCAAAACAGACACCCCCTCAATGCATTGATGTCAATGTAAATAACTCCACCCACACGCGAATTTAGAACGCAACCCATATCTTCCAATATGCATTGGACGATTGAAAATATGTTCTGTGTGGTTTTCCGTATTCGATGCTCGTTATCAAAAAATCGGTTGTGGTACCCGCCTTCATTAATTATCTAATTCATGACTGTTCAGATTTAGATTTCCACTGCACGCTGGCTTTAGCCAGAAATACCGAGATTGCCGATGGATGAACTCTGCCGTGGAGAACACCAGTGAAACGCTTCACCGAGCACCCCTCAGAATGCATCTCGCAGAGAGGCAGGTATCGTAACCGAGGAGGCAGCATTGATTGGACATCTTACCCACGAGGTCAAACACCACGGCTCATTCAAAGGATGTGGCATTGCCTGCCATAACAGACTAGGGCACTTCACTCTGCAGAAAAGAAGGAACATGTGCAGAAAAAGAATCGTGCCGGGGACCACTGCTCGCTGGTAGTCTTGTGGAACTTTGCGATTTCTTCCGCAAAGCCTTTTCGAAGCCTCAGCCGAGTAGAGCATCGCACGCCGAAACCAGGTTCATGCACTTTCCTTCAGCAGTTCCTGAGCCTTTTTCGCTGTTTCGCCAAGATCTGGCTCTTTGTCAAACTCAAGGGTGACAGGTGCAGGCCTCAGATCAAGCGGCAAAGTGACCTGCATCCAATGCTGCCTCCAGTCCCTTTAATGGGGGCCCCGGCGCCACCGTCTCAACCGATCTGTCCCGAATATTTTTGAACAGGTCGTGGTCGAGGGCTCGGTCCTTGGGGTGCACGGCCTTCTGCAAGAACTATACCTTCGCCTTCAAGCATTTAGGAGCCTGGCCACATTAACCCTTTCCCGCGGTGTGAACTTCAGCATCTTCCTTGCAAACAGAGCATGCAGCTTCTACTGAGATCTTTTCGCAGAAGCAAGCAAAGTGTTTCTCTTGCAGGGGCCGCTGCTCCAGCAAGTCCACAGAGTCGTCGGGTGCGTCTGGGAAGCGACTTCGCCTGGACGTCCAGGCGAACACGGACTTAGCAGATCTCAAAGATGCTCGGCCCATGGGCCCATCTCAGCTCGTGGCACCCCTTTTCGCTCGCGCCGCGCTAGCGCCCGGATATGCTGCTTGGCCTCCTGTGCACGCACTCGCCGCGTTTAAGCGAGCAGGCAATTGTCAGCGGAAATGAAGGCCTCCGTCTGGAGTTGGGCAATCTCGGCCTGCAGCAGCACAGACTTCAAACCGGCATAAATGCTGCAGCATGTTCGCAGACTTAGATTTCTGATGTGCGGTCACACGCCAGTCAAAACCCATTTGCCGCGGGCTAAGGTTCAAAGTTCGTTGACAAGACTTTGAAGACATGCTGCACTGCTGGGCGGTGCACGAGACTCGTGCGGCTTTGTCTGGACTACGGAAGTCTGGCCAATACCGCGCATTGTCCTCTTCACAGGATCCGATGCCATTCCAAATCCCTCAACCCCTGACCATGAGGGAAGCGCTTCGCGATGTCTGGGGTTCAAACTCCCGTTTTGTGTGACTTCTGATTTCTCTACCTGCCGCCGGCCCCAGTATCGGAACCAGTATCGACAGGACGGATCCTTCGAAGCAAACATGACACTCATTACGGCAGCTGGCACAAACCATGGCGACTGGAGCCATTGCATACAGTCACCTGGGAGTCGTCTAGGAGTGGCTCTACGCTCAATTCTTTCGTCTGCGTACTGCGCAGAGTGCTCACATCTGCGGTCTCCATCGTTGAGAGCGGTTGTCTCCAGTCTTCTGCTGTGGATGCAGCTCGGGGTTTTAAGGACTCTGGCAGTGCGTTGCTGCCTGTATGAAGTTCTGAACCCATAGTCGGAATGCACTGGCTCCGGTGATCTGTGTAGTGCCTCCGAGGGAGTGCCAAGCAGGTCGAAGATAACGTTCAGCTGGTCGGTACCTTTTTGGGGCATGAAGGTAACGACAGAAATCTACAGTAGCACTGCTAGAGGTCAGCTCTTCCGTCAACTGAGGCCGTTTCTGCCACGCCTGGCGTGTTGCAAGGACGTGCGAGCTCCGTAGGAATGAACCACGGACAGAAGGACGAAACCGGGCCGTAAAGTAATATGGGAGTCGTCAGCTACGATCCAAAGCGTCATCACATAAACTCGCCTAGGCACGTGTGGAATCTGGGATCCTTTCGATGCTTTCTGTCCGGCGAAAGTGGGTAGCAGCTCGAACCAGGAAACAGAGGTCCTCGATCCTGCATGGCGCATACTTCGCTACGACATCACGGACAGCCGAGAACAGCGTCCTCTGTGTGGGTACCCTCCTCAGCAAAGAAAGCCATAATGAAACCTACGATATTCCTCAGACCGGGGCTCTGGCCAGCATTTGCAGGAGCTCTGCATAGATGCACCCCACGGACCACATGTCGATCTGCTCGTTGTAGGTATCCTGGTCAAGAAAGAAAAGACTCAAAGTTTATCGTGGGTTGTCTGCCTGTGAATTTGTAGACATGGGCCAACAGGGCCATAGGAAGCCCTTGCAGCCAGCAGGCAACCCCAAAAAGATTCCAGTCAAAATGTGGAAGTGAGTGTGCAAGATTTCATGTGAAAATGTGTGAAGATATGATTGTTGGCTTGAGCAAGGCAGCCAGGTGTCGTGTATGAACACTGTTGAGGTTTGAAACACGGATATTTCGGCATTGAGTTGAATGAAGCCGAATGCGATCTAGAATCTAGAATCGATCTACGCATTCAAACCCANNCCCCCCAAAAAAAAAAAAAAACAAAATTAAACACGGCTCTGAAGCGTTGAACCCTTCCTGAAACCCAGAACCCCAAGGATTCAACAAATCTTCGAGTCACTTTCATTTCCGCCTGCAAGAGGATCAGCTCAGGGGCCCGGTACCAGCCTAAGTCAGACATGAGGAACACGGGAGACCTTCTCAGGATCTGGGGGCGTTTACGGGGTTAGGGCGGTTGGAACGGGGCAGTGGCGGCTAGTGTTGAGGACTACCGTTGGGAGGCGTTCCTCTTACCAGCATCCTTCTTGCCCTTAGTCTCACTGGTGGATCTTTGTGCGAAGTTCAACAAGCCAATGCTGGCTGTGAGAAACAGGCGAGGCTCAGGCGAGTGACCACGTGCCTAGTCATGGTCCTTTTGGCTTTTGCTGTGTGGGGTACCACAGGTCCAGCGACCTGCGGCAGTCTACCAGAGTCCACGAAAGAGGTCGCTGGTGTTTGCAAGATGTCACTGCTTCCGCTGCAACAAGGCACCTCGTTGCTTTCCTCCTCGCCGCGAGGCGTGTTGGGCAACGGAGCATGCTGTACCTGAGTGGATCATGACACAACTTCCAACCCGGCCCCAACACCACAGGACACCGGAGATCCAAGAAAATACAGGCACGGCTCGGCTCGCAATAATTACGTCCAAGCGCGGAATGAATCATCACTCCAAGCTACGGCAGCTACCACATACTCATGCGTGCGCAATGAAAGGTTCGAGTTGCAAACAGCCCACAGGTTCTACGACCCTATTGCCGGCTACAGGCAAGGGGATTGTGCACACTAGTCATTGTTTGGACCGATGCCAACAGCTCATGTACTTGAGGGGGTCCCCCACCAACCCCTTAAGTACATTGTTCGTTGCAGTTCGTTGCTCTAGGGGTCCATGACAGAAGACCCCCAAGTACATTATCTCAGCTGGAATGTCCCACGGAAAACACATGTAGTGGGATTCCTACTGGGCTCGTAGGAACAGGAGGAAATGCACTTCGAACCCCAGACATCGATGTAACACCCGTCTCCAAGTACATAAGCCGGGGGCTAGTGCCAAAAGGGAGGGCACGGCAAAGCAACTGGTGTGCTTACGAGAAAGTTCTAGCCATCACTCCTTCTCTAGTCCAGGGGTCATTGTCGGAACAATGGATTTTTCCGTCACAGGCTGTGTGCTCTTGCCGTCCTGTGTGGTTGTAACTGGCGCTTGAATCTCACTACTTTCCTGACTCGTCACACATAACTCTCCAAATATTGCATTCCGAGTAAAGCCGAAAAGGATTTAGTGCTCGTTTTGTCGGTGACAGGCTGGGTGGCGGGTGCCTGCGTGTGAGCGCGCGTAGGCGCATGCTCGCCTGCACATGCATACATGAACGTGTGTGGGAGACAGAGAGAGAACACCGCTGTACATGCAGCGTCTGCTATACCCTCTGCTTACAGCCTTGAAAGCTTTCCTGCCGCCTTGCATAGTGCGGCCCCACTCCAACGCATGTCGATGCACGGCCATGTGCCCCAACCTGCAACTCCTGCCACCACCTTCAACTGCTACGAGCCGGGGAACAGCCGTTGACAGCCCCTCATCAGCTGGCGTGCGCATGTGTGTGTGTGTGTGCACGAGGATGTAGGAAAAAGCCGGATATGCTGGATGAGCTCGTGGACGCATGGGCGTGTGCCGGTATGTGGATGCTGGCCCACGACCCTAGATGACCCAGACGAAAACTGACGAGGACATTCGAGAACGATTCATGCCTTTCTCGGTCCTTGTGGGACAAGCTGTGACGGTGACGACGACGACCACCACCACCACATCAACAACAACAACAACAACGACACACTGCCTGCGCAGCAGAAGTCGCACTGAGGGCCTCACAGATGAAACTGCTCTGGAGAGCCCGAAGTCACATATTTTGACCGAGCAATCCTGGTGATAAGACAGCTCTCATCGACTGCACAGCAGAGGTCTGCGAGGTCTCCGAGGTCCTGGTTCACCAAGCAATTCGCTGGCTTCAGATCCTGAGCTTCTAGGACTCTGCTAGGATTCCGCCAAAGCTCGGGGACTTCCATCTGAGCTGGGAACCCTGTGCCAAATACCCGCGGAGTGCAGGTACTTCAATCCTCCGAAAGAAGCACATGTCAGGCCAAGGAAGCTCCCAGTCTCATGCCGGGTGTCGCGCCGACAAGCAAGTTGTAGAGCAACGTGTTGATGTGGAGAGGTGTGAGAAGGACATCTGTCTTGATCAGCTTCTTCATGTCCGAGTCACAGAGCCTGACAGGTTCAGCTGCGCAACTCAGCGAGGTGCCCCCTTTTTCCGAGGGTCCGGCTCCATGACTATGTACAATTCGTCGAAACTGCGCATGTGAGACGGCCTCGGAGTCTCTAGCACGAAAGACACTCTGCACAGGGCTCTCGGTAGAAAGCCCTCAACTGCTGCACAGTATTCACAGTAAGACCGCTTTACAATTGCTGCCGCAAGGCTCGATAATATCATAGATCTGCACAATGTGTGGATGTGTGAGCCTGCACAATCAGTGACAAACAGCCTTCAATGTCCACCCCCAAGCTCTGTCCTCGTCATGATAGCAGTTTCTCGAAGAATCCGTTTGCAGTCCACCAAGTCATCAAACATGTGTTTGACCTTTGTTCAGACTTGAGAGCATGCATCTCCATGTCGATTCAAAGGAGGCCGTCTTGGGAACATGCTCGCTTGATTGCGACATTCTGGTCACGCTCTTTGTCATAGGCCTCGCCTTTACAAAGGGGATTTGCCGATCTGCCGCCCCGTCCAAACTGCAGATGCTGTATCCGACAGGCTCAGCACCGCACATACGCTACCGTATGATCCAGATCCTATGATGTTTTTGACCTCATATCGCGACCTTGGCACGTCGAAGTCTCACAGCAGCTTCCCCCGATCACTCTTCCCTCACAGATGGATTCATGGGTCCCCGACGAAACATGCCACTGGCCTGCCCTTGGGATAACCGGCATCTCACGTACCACGGGAACTGTTGGCAGCTTCGAGCCGCAAAGGTAGACACCAAGCTTCAACCTTCCAAATCCACCCAGCACACTCTACAACACCTCTGCACACAAAGCAGATCTTGTCCCTTTTGGGCATGCTTTGCAGCAGTCTTGCTCCTCCGCCAGTGCACTGAAGCATCCGGCAGCTGTATCGGCGCAGACAGCTGCAGCTAAACACGAAAGTTCCGGCACCGTTCGAAGGTGTCGAAATTGTTCGCAGCACAGCCTCCACCACCGCTCAGGCGTAGCGCACTGAGCTTTGCAAAATGTTTAGCGGCCAATCAGCTCGACGGCCGCATTAATGCGTGGCGGCCTGCCGTGCATCAAGAAGACTAGCCCCGGTGGAATCTTTCTTGCTGAGGCAACCCTCTCGGCTACATGTGGCAACAACGGCAACAACAAACCCAAAGGATCCGCCGAGAAAAATCAACTGTGGGAGGCAGAAGACATGCATGCCAAAGTCGTTTGCAGAAGCATGAGCCCATTATGGGAATTATGGGTGGTAAAACAGCAACCCTACTCGCCAACGGTGCCCAAGGAAAGTTTACAGATACTGGACATTTCACAGGAAGCAGCAGCAGTTGACGACAATACACTCGAAGTTATCCATCCCACTTCAAAAAGCCTGTGCTGCAGTGTATGTTCTGTATGCAACCATATGACTCTTGATCTTTACATGATTCATGCGGTCGTTATGTTTTAGTCTAGGCCCGTTGTCCGTCCTTCCTTTGCGCCGTTTTGTTAAACCCAATCTTTATCTTGTTCGGATAGCGAGTTGACAAAGTCGAGGCAACGGACACACCATCTGTGATAGCAGCTAGCTTCACTTCAACCTTATGGTGTTAAAACCACTTCTACCATAATAGGGACGATGTCAGATAGCCATTATGAGAGACCGGATCCGGAGCAAAAAGGTGAGTTCTTGCGCTATGCGGAACTCAGGTGGCGCCATTCCCCAGGATCCAACACAACGAACTTTGAAGACACATATCACATGCTCATCATGTGCCTACTTTGTGTGTTTAGATTTGTTCATGCCCCGGGAGCTGGGGCAACGAACAGTAAGTAGGCAATCTTGCCGCACAACGTGTTGCAGGCCATTCTTTAGCACCTGGCGGCCCTATACCCTGCATCACAGCGATAGCATGCCCTTGAGGATCGTGATCAGGAATTGTCAAGGATCCGCCAAACAGTCAAACACGTCTCCCGTCTTGGTCATGAAACAAACCATTCGAACAAACATGTGCACCTCTGTTCTCCGGCTTCTGGCATCGTGGGCTCTAGGGCAGCTGTTGAGAATTTCACACGACTTATCGCCACGTTCACATCCAACAGATCTCAGAGCCAGCAGGCAGCCACGCCAAACGACCGGCAGTAAGGATATGCAAAAGCCTTACAGCATGCGTGTTTACCAATTCACCAGAGCAAAGCCCTTGGGTCATGAGTCAATTGCATGGTCTTGGTCGTTGCGTCTTCTCCCTTCAAAGTCGGTTTGCTTGTATTTCTGGCGATTCTTTTTTTTGCGATGGCTCAATTCGGCTTGGCAGCTTGTCTTAGTAAGTTTCTTTCTTTGTCTCCAATGTGGCTCACGATAACACCTGTGGTGTTCTTTGACATCGCTTCCCCTCCGCCCACTGGTTTATTACTTGCCTGAGGTAGTCTGTGTTCATAGGGCCGACTGTTTTAGTGGTGGATGCAGTCGGCTTTGTCTTGTCGGTTGTCTTATGACTTCTGCTCGTTTGTGCCTTAATTTGGGTGGTATGAGAGGACATGAATGCAGAACGTGTCCTTGCCTTTGTCCAGTGGCGACTCCGGTGCACAAAGCCGCTCAGATCAACACAGTCTGACCCGGGCCCCTCTCATCATCTCTACGAATACATCAGCTGTCGTTTGGACGCTTCAACCTACCATCACATTTCCCTGCTCCCTTCAACCTGCCAAGTTCAGCTTTTTCAGAGGCTTTTGCCAGCTCCGCCACTCACGTCCCCCTAGCTCAGCTTCTGCACCAAACGACTTAACAGGTAGGTTACTGTAGTCCATCTTTGTCCTGCCGTCCTTACCTCCTGAAACTCCGTGCTCCTGTTCTTTCGGCATCTTTGCATCCACAAAACTGTCGGCGATGAACTGTGTCCTTATCGAGACGAAAACTCTCCAAACACATTACAGTTCAGACGTTCCTTTCTGGTGGGAATAATTGGCTCATGGGGCGGTACCATTACCTCACGCGGTCTTATGCAGTGCACGAAGTGGCTGTCTCTCCTTTCGTTGGATGGACATGCCTGCAATCCCTAGGCAGCAAAAAGTCTTCCAACCGGACGGGCGGGCGGGAAAATCGTGCATCCCGGTACCGCAATGCGCCGGCACAGGTGCACACTACACAGCAGAACTGCTGATCATGCCGCCGGCGCGCACAAGACTTGGTATCGAACGCAACTGTATAGCACTGCATGTGCATGTGAGAGACGGGTGTTCTGCCAGACCCAACCGAACCGTGCTTGTTCGACCTGCTAGCTGAAGCCACGGCCTGCCTTCCGGGACCGCCATTTTGAAATGTGACTCCTGCCCATTGGCCTCAGGGGTTCTCACAGATCGAAACATCCACGCCACACGACCGAGCGCCTTCTGACAACATCCACTTCAGCTCATGCCTTGCAGGAACGGGGCACCCAAATGAAACAAATTCTCCCGGAGCTAAGCATGCAAAAGCCCAACGCACCCGTGGGTTCAGTGTGAGCCGGACACTCGGCTCGGCACGTTACAGATGTGGAGTTGTGCCACGCTCCTGTCGCGGTCACCGCATAACCTGGCTCCAGCACCGCGTGTATAATAGAAACGGAAAGCTGCAGGCGTCGCAGTTGATGGCAACTCCGGAGGCAATTTGCAATAATGTGGTGGCTGCACGTGGTTGCCCGAAACCTGTTGTCCCAACATTGACACAGGAAGCGACTGAAACAGACGGCTAGTCGTCTGCCTTGGTCCGCAATTCCAAGCGCCACTGCAAGCTTGGCACCCCAGCCAAGCCCTGAAGAAAAGCAAACGTGCGAAGGCCTATAAATTTCTGGCTTCGCTGCCATCTTGGTGCGGGTCTGCTCACTTCTGCCACACTCTCGAATCCAGATCCTTGACACGTCTCGAAGCTGCGCCAGGCTCCGAAGATGTAGGGAACTCAGCGCCCGGCCACCCAGGCCAGCTTGCGCACTCTGCAAACCTTCACAGCAGGCGGTGCGGGAAGTTGAGAGCTGAGCTTGAAGGTCTGCTGCACCGGGAGATGCTTCAAGATCCAAGGGGCCCTCAAAGTTCCACATCTGGAGAGTTAGCTTGCTGATCTTTGCTGGCGCAACGCCGATCAGACCGCTGGTGCGCAAGAAGCTCAGATCAAAGCTGAAGGGGTTTGAACGGGTCTGAGACTCTGCCAAAGTGCGAGCTGTATTGCTAGCTGCAAGAAGGGATCGCAGGACAGGTGTTCCGGAAACCCCCCTTTCCTCTACAGGACACGCTCGCGTGACTGAATCAACACTGCTCAACGCACGTGACGCTTCGGAGCTTCGCTCCCCCTGGCCTAGAAGTGCACTGGGCCCGTCGCTACCTCCGTATCACAAGCACGAGCCTGCAGCTTTTGCTCTTCCCGTGAGTTGGGCTGCAGGGTCAAGCTTTGGATGGAATCAGCCCCAGGCTTATGCGCAATTTCGTGGCCGGCATAACCTGCAGTCCAAAGCTAACCATCTTCATGCATGCCATAGCTACTGCCGAAAAAAGAGATACGGCTACGAACGAGTCTGCTCTTGCAATAAACTCGACTTGTCCGCCGAAATAGCCGAGTTTGACTCACTCACTCACAAACACTTGACACACAGAGGTTACCGATCGCACATCTCTTGTAGTACTAGCTCTTACCAGCTCGCACTTCGTAAATCAGATGCCTCTCCGAACTTTACAGCAATGCACGACGAGAATTGGCACCACATCACAATATGTCACAAGCAATGCAGGTGCGTGCGTTGAGTGTCCCCAATCCATACCACCGCATATCACACACACACACACACACGCGCGTGCGCGAGCGCGCGCGCATGACCCCGGGTCTCGGGCTGCTGCCCCCTCGCCGCACCCCTAAAGGTATCCCCCACGACCGACTCCCAAGGCTGTCTATGATAACAATCACAGACGTCAAGCCCGGTGAGTGCGCGATCCTCGTGACAGGCGTCGTTTCGGAGGATGGGATCCTCCCCGTCAAGTAAAGATGTCAACAGTCGCCGGGACTAAACCTGTTGGTGTCAACATTCTGGGCAACTTCGCATCCCAAGCATGGCAACAGTTGCTAGAACGAAGTCGTGATCTGCACGACTGTCGTTGTGTTTGGGAGCAGGTTGCGGATTTTCAACCCAAACCACCAGTTGACAAGGCAGGGGAACTAGGCGACGGGTGTCAATGTCACGACAAGCATGACAGCCAGTGCTTGCAAGAGCGAAGGAGCCACACCAAAGTAGGGGACCATGCCGAATGGACAAGGGCACCACCCGCACAGGGAAAAGAGGAAAACCACCACCACCACCTCCACCTATTTCGGCTCGGGCTGCCATAACAGTCGGGCGATGACTTCAAGGTTGAAGTAACTAGGATGATTTTTATGGCTGTCGTTTCGGGTCGGCTTCGAAGGTTTAGTTCTTGTGGAATTTAGGCTTCAGTATTCAGGATCATGTCGTTCGTGCCAGGAATTCCGGGGCTGCGAGACATGCATAAATCGACGTTATGACAGTGGGGTTTTACAAAGTGGATGAACCACTCTTTGAGGTAGGTTCAAAAAGCGGGTCTCACACACACACGCACATCACGGTCATCATTTTCTACTAAATCGACGTCACGATGTATGGTTTTTGTGCATAAAGCCAGAATATACATACGTACATACTTTCTATAATAGGTGTATGTGTATGAGATGAATGTGTAGATACACATCTCTATCTATCTATCTATCTAT